AAAGCAAATGTCATCCTATTATTGGAGATTATAATAATTTAATTGCAAATAACTTGTGAATTGAGCGCTAAAATCAATTTCCTGTTCCACTGATTGATTACCTTTGAAATTGATATTTGGTTTTTACCTTTTTTTTGTCGTACATTAAAGAGCGATACATCTTTTGATTAGCGATTTACCTCTGAATGCGAGAAACAAAATGTTAGTCTAAAAGGCAATATAATATATACTGTAGTATTTTTGGTGTTTTTACTTCTGTGGGAAACTTATTTGGCATTTAAATTATATTTTCTGCTATAGAGTTATACACTATTTTCTATTAACTTTTCGGCATTTGATGTTTCATTTAAAACTAAAAGTCATTCATTTCTAGCGATTTAAATGTTTTCCTCTTTTCATTCCTAATTTCCAGATATAATGAGATCCGAGTTTTTTCTTCCATTTGTTTTTTATATAAGTTATACACAAAGTTTTGGTGCATTACTTGTCGAGACATTAGTTTCTCTCATGAAATGGCATTTGAATATAACTTGCATTTTATCTGAAACAACACTTTTATACTGTATATGAAATTAGAAATTTTTTGTTTTGATGTTATGTAATATATGTATTGAATCTCATTTTATTGATATGAGTCTCACAGCGTTTTCTTGAATATATTGACAGTTATAATAAATTGGCATAAATTAATGTAAACTCGGATTCAGTGAACAGAATAAATTTGCGGTTAAAATAGTTAGCGACTAATACTGTATAATATTTTGTTGAAATATATATTTTAACCCATAATTGGTTTTATATATAAAGAAGACATAAATCAAAAGCAATGTATTTAATATTATCTATAAATTTTCTAAACATCTTTTGCGCTCAAATAAGTGATGAATAAATTACAATGTATTGATATTCAGGCTCTATTTGATTCTCTCTCTCTCTCTCTCTCTCTCTCAGCTATAAACTATCCCCTTTCGGATCAAATTCACACGACTTCTGTTATGAACCATAAAAACTACATTTATATAGTGCTATAGAGAATAACACATTAAATATCATATAATTTAATGATAGAAACAACGCGAGAGAAGTTTGTTCCCTAATATCTAAAAGCATTGACTAATACAGTATAAAGACTCTCTCTCTCTCTCTCTCTCTCTCGGATAATATCTATCTGAAAATAACGGATTTTTGAATAAATTTATTTTAATTTATATTCAATTCTTTAGATATATTTTATCCGAGAATCCAATTCTCATAGGAATTACTGAACAAAATATAAGATTTTTTACTTTATTATTGAATCCTTTCCAAGAAAACTAGTTATTGGTTTTGAAATACAGGAATGCTTTAAATGATGGATACTTTAGGCATATATTAAACTATAATGTATTTGGATTTGGTTTTAATGATAATTGAGTGAAATATTTGCCATCTGTTACCCCTTTCAGCCTATTATCCATCACATCCTTATTTAACCATTAGATGCCATTATTTATCACAACAAATGAATTGCAAAACTCATTCTTATCTTAAGTGTATATAAACTCTGTTTTGATTGATATATAATTATTTGAATTTATTTATATATATTTATGTAAATATTAGACAACCATTTGTTTTATTGCTTGTGTTTCATGTAATGTGTTTCATTCACGCAACCGTTATAACAAGGAATTACATTATAAAGCGATTATAAGCGATATTATTTTATATGTATAAATGATTTTAATTTTGATTTAAAGTATATTTAAACTTTGATAAAAATAAAACCAAATTTAATTAACCATGGTCAAAACACTTACATTAGGGTCACTTACTTACATTAAGGTACACTTACTTACTTCGTTAGTGTCCATTGTTTCCCACTCTTCGGGGAATTAGATTTACCGCTCGTTTGGTTAGTATTGCAAACACTTATTGTATACACTCTTCCTGTATATAGTGTACGATATTCTGTAATTGAATTGAATTGAATCAAAGAATAGCATAGGAGTAGTCGAATGTGTTATTCTCTATAACACTATATAAATGTAGTTTTTATGGTTCATAACAGAAGTCGTGTGAATTTGATCCGAAAGGGGATCGTTTTTAGCTGAGAGAGAGAGAGAGAGTCTTTATACTGTATTAATCAATGCTTTTAGATATTAGGGAACAAACTTCTCTCGCGTTGTTTCTATCATTAAATTATATGATATTTGAGATGCCATTCAATATGTCTTTTCCTTTTGTTTTGTGCGTCAATTGATTACATTTTCTCAAGTCATGACTTTGGCTTAAATTACACTCACTTTACAATGGCTTTTATATTTATTTAAAGTACTGTTAGTATCATAAAAATTAATTGTATTTTTTTGTATACACTTTTATGACTTATTTAGTGTTTCATATAATTTCTATCGCAACTAATTTTATGTCTGACTTAACATTTCATAAGTTTTTGTTCCCATAATAGCAAATGTCTGCCATTTTTCATACACTTAATTAAGAAATACAGTGTTTTAAGAGGAATATTACATAATATAATGATATGTAATACATATAAAGGCTGGGACTTAACGAAAAGAAATTTAATATTATTTACATTTGGATGAATTTTAGCGTTGAGTGAATAGTGGAGTTAATGTGATGTGAAAAATACAAAATGTTTGATAATTTGTGCGCTAATTGTGAGCAATATATTGCCTTTCATTCAATTAACGAATGCATTCGTCGAGCGATTGCTTTGAAATAATTATTTCAGAAACGATTCGTGTTTTCATGTATTTTATGAAACAATTGTAATGAAATTATTTTACAATTTGTGATGACTTTGATGTTATTTAATATTAATTTTGGCAAACGATTGCATTAATTGCTAGAAAGGTATCGCCGTTTACGTGCGGTTGAAGTTTAAATAACAACTTATCAATCATTGTGTTTGAAATTAATTTTGTAATATATTATAATAAATACAATTTTGGCTAAAATTTCTGAAATATTTTCATTTGTTGTGCACTATATATGCAAACATACATACAGTATATCATATTTAATAAATTTAAATCCATATATGTATGAAATTTATTCAATTTTTTGATAGCATATCGATCTGAATATTGAGTTAATCGATAGAATCGCCAGAATATACATAAAGTGCCGCGAATTGAGTTCAGATATCACTAAAACTGTTCACAATATAAGTATTGGATATCTATTTATATTTGAGTTCTTCTTTCATTCATTGCATTTCTCTTTTGCCTTTATTTTTATTTCAGTTTTTATATTTTTAGTTAAGTATTGGTTTAATGTTTAATGTGTAGATATATTGCACTCATTTTCCATCTCCATGTATAGACTCCTCCGTTAATTATATTTGAAACTCTGTTTTAAAAATGTTTTTCTTTCCGCGATTTCCTTCAAGTGTTTTTTGAGCTATAATTTTGGCTCAATTTGTTTGTCAGGCATTGAAATCGATTCGCAGAAAAATAAAAACAAATAATAATTTCACATTCTTTTAATGTTTCAGAGAATTACTGTATTTTAAAACAATTTAGTGAATTAACTTGTTATACATTACAGCACAGTATTATGTAAACGCCATCACATGTGTTGATATGAATTAGTATTCATTATAAGAGAGTCTTTTATCGTCTATTAGAGCCCCTAATGTTAAGTATTAAGAAAGAGTTAATAATCTTTTTCCCATTTTATGTGCATTTTTCTCAGTTTATTGCCACGAATTAAACGACTCTCTCTCTCTCTCTCTCTCTCTCTCTCTCCAGTCTTAAGACACCATATATAAAGTATACCAATTCTTTTCACTTCATCCGTATTTTTGGTTTTTCCTCAAAATATTACCATTTCTTATGGAATCGAAACTATTTTTTCTCAGTATTTTGTAATCTCTTTCGCGTTGAATGCCATACAGTATGAGATATTTTTAAATTAAATAACAGATATTTTTTGTCGGAATTGAATTATTCTTAATATTTACTGCAAATCTTCGTTCATATCTATTGCCACAATGAAATGCAATTGTATTTCAATGTAAAACAAATTTTAAATTCTTCCAATCAATCAATAATTTTGTATTTTTGTGATAAAAATAATTGAAACGAATCATAGAATCCTTTGTAAGGGTTTGTATGGAAACAATATATTTATTTTATACATTATTATCGATATATTATATAAAAAGTCATTAGTGTATGGATTCGTGCTTTCGTTGTATATTATTCTCTAAATAAATAGCATTTCCCGATATTTTATTGTTTTTGTATTTGACATTTTGTTTAACTAATTATATTTTTCCTTTAATTATAAATGTTTTGCTATTTATATGCAATCTCTAAACATTACTGTAAAAGTAATACATTTTTTCGATACAAATTGTGTGAAAAGAAGCCGTTTTCCTGTTTATCTCACATTTTGTGTGCTTTTTCTTGGTTTCTAAGGACTTGTGATTATTTTAACTTTTTTAATTAAATGCTAAAAATGTTATTATCTTTAGTTTGAAAGTCAAACTCATTTATTGTTATTATATTAGACTTCATATTTTGTGTAATAAAACCCAAAAAATAGTTTTTGTATTTTTTCATACATTAGATTTTACGCGATTTAATTAGTGTTGTTATACAGAGACCCGAAGGTTGCCTTTCATTGATGTCATCTATTGCTTCAATTATATCCTGAAGTATTTTTTATGTCTTTTGTTTATTATTTTTCGTGATTAACTGTTTTTAATACAAGTTTTTTATGTTTAATTTTGTATATTATTATAATTATTGTTATTATAAGCAAAGGTCTAATGAATTCCATCCGAGTCTTGACCCCCGAAGTGAATAACAAACAAAACAAATGTATATAAAAATAAATGAATCGTTTTTTTCCAGTGTTTTGTAAACGCATTCAAAGCATAATTCCTATACTTTATTGAATTAAATGTGTGAACACTTTATAACAATATAATAGAGGGCTTTAATAATGCATACATAAAAGTCAAGGTATTGTAGACTTCAAACATAATGGTATTCAATGTATTCAGTGTTTTACAGAATACTTGCAGACATTGAGTGAAAGTGCAATCGTTTGCATAATTGGCTCAAATGTGGGACACTTTTCAATTGATAAACAACTCTTAATTGAAGTGTTTTTACAATACAACTGATATTCAATTTATTATTGTTATTATTATTGCAAATATGTTTTATATCATTGATAATAATTGTTTGCATAATGTATGGATAGGTATTGGATGTGGGAATGGATCCGCCGATACCGACGATACTTCAGGTGCCGGGAGAGGTGTCATTCTATATGCAATCGGGTCTTATGAAAGATACCATTAAAGTGGACACAAGCGAACTCACGCTCAAGTCGTTGAAGGAAAGTGCATGCAATTTCATCGATAAACAGGTTTGTATCATAAGCACAGTATATCAATGTAAAGACGAAACTATGAGTGCTGCTTAGTTTTTGGGGGCGAAATGCACTGTACTCTATGGGTAGACCCGTTGATAGACATAGACATCCAAACGACAGACAACTGGGTCTAACCATAGAAAACGTTACGAGTGCTACAGGGAACTAAGCAGCACTCATAGTTTCGTCTATATACGTTATGTCATATATTTATTGCCCGCACTTTGAAACAACACTTCAACTAATTTTTATAACATTTTTGCGAGAAAATTATATGTAATTGAAATGCTTTTTGAGTGGATCTATCGTGTAATCTATTGATTTATAGCCTTAATAATGATAATTATTATTATACTTATTATTACAGTTAATTCCGCGACAATCCGTTAGTTATAATTATAAATATATATACAAATATGTTTTTATTTGTTGTTTTTAACCACAATTCCGTATGAATAATGTGGTTTATGGGATCGCGACGCCCCCTCCCCTTGAATTCGTAATTAGTCTTCTCTGAAGAGCGGAAAACAACAAACATTGAGATGTTTTTCATAAGAGAAGGTATTCTCATAGAAACCGATAGTGAAGAGTGAGAGAGAAAAATAAAGTACATGTGATTATCATTACATACATAAGCATTAATTCAAGGCTTATTTTGGCTGTTAATGTGAGCCAATGCTAAGTTCGTGTGAACACAGGTAGTGAACGTATCTATGAATTAGCCGTATATTTGTTTCGATAGTAAATAAACACATAATAATATTGTTTGTTGTGGTCTTAAGGCTAAATGAGTGCCGGTTCTGATGTATGCATACATTAACTCCTCATCAATACTTATGATGTTTATATGTTTTATATATAACGGTTGTCTCTCTCTCTCTCTCCCGCACCAGTACCCCGACCATGGCCTCAATCGATTAACAGAGAGGCTTATGCTATTCAAACACGACTACAACTCGCAAAACATGCTTTTGCCCGTCAATGCGGCCTCAGATGTGACCGACGGCGCGCTCATCGAAATCATTGTTTCAGGTATGGGCTCTCGTATTCACTCTCCTCCCCCTCCTCTCTCACTCTTAACATACCTTTCCATCGTTTGCACGTAAACCACAACATGAGTGTCAAGAACTCTCAAGTGAACTGTTTTTCTCCGCAAATGCAAACGCGAAACTGTTTTTCTTCATTTCAAAGTTTAGCTGTCGTTTGACAGGAAATACTGATTTGTTGTAAATATGTTTGTGTATTACAGGCAACAATCCATCGGATTCGGTGCAAATCAGACCGCATTACTTAGGGGTCCACTCGTATAAGGCGCCAACTTTTTGTGATTTTTGCGGCGAAATGCTGTTTGGATTAGTCCGTCAGGGACTGAAGTGCGAGGGCTGTGGACTTAATTACCACAAACGGTGCGCCTATAAGATACCCAACAACTGTACGCACGGCCGCCGTCGCCGATCCTCCACTTATTTAGTGCCAAACAGTCCAACAAACGAGTCGGCTATACATCGAACCACCAGTAGTGGGCCAACACTTACCGACGAAATGAGGGTATGTTTTGTCCGCATATGTGTCACTCATGTCTACTCAGCCATTATATGTATTCGTGATAATTATATAACATTTCATTAAATGCATTGTTAATCAATAAAATACTATTTATTTTGAATACAATATCCTTTTGAGAACTGAATTTATATTATGAACAGAAATTGAATAATAAGTTTAACCAATATTTGGCAACCATTGTAACATTTAGTCATAATTCTAGTTGTGATTAGAGCGTCGATTATTCAGCAATAAAAATATTCAAATTCGGGAATTGTATTTGTATTGAATTCTAAGCAATAATTATGTATTTAAATGATTGAAACAAAGATTGCGCGCAAAGCTATGACTTAACCACAATTCTGTTGCGAAAAGAATAGAAATGTATGAAAATATTCAAAGAATTGCGATTCTTATCTCTAATTTTAATGTTGATTCAGAATTATCTATAGCCGTATTGCCATAGAAAAGCATTGCTCAAACAAATAACAGGATAAACATTTGCGCTATTATAAAATATAGTCATAGATTTAAGATGTAATTGCATATTAAATTGCCACAAGGGTGGGGGAGGGGCAGAGAATAATCACATTATTCATACTGAATTGTGGTTGAAAATGCTATCTATATGTTTCATGTTTTTCATTGTCGTTTCATACATTTTATATCCATAAGCATTGGTTTACTGTTGAGTTTTATAAATATTAAAATTTCATGTTTTTATGAAAAACAAGTTTAAAATTGTATAACTTTTTGTTTATTAGATTTAAATATATATATATGACGTGAATATGAAATAGAGATGAAACCGAAACTGAAATGATTGTCAAAATCTTTTTATCATAATTGGTTTGTTTTAAAGAGAGATACAGTCTGTAAGCAGTCATTGAGTGTTAGGCTTTTTGCACATGAATTGACATTTGTTTTTCATTATTTTTCAAATACAACACAAGACAACAGTCTTTATTTCAATAGAGTTAAGGAGTTTTCCTCCGAACCAAACCTCGGGTTATTTTGACAATATTTGTCGCAACAGAAGACAAGTTTTGTATATTCATCACTCGTTTTGCATATCATTTCTCATATAGAGCTTAATATTATATTCTCTTGTGTTTTGAATCTTTATTTTTTTGGCTAAAAGTTTTCTAATATAATTCAACATTTGATACAAATTTCACATTTTTTACGCCCAAACGGTTCAATACTTATATCGATTTTCAAGATTTTGAGTCGAGAGTCAACAAAATTGCAATGTTTTTAATTTATCAGTCAATTGATAGTTGCTATCCAAAGAGGAAGAGATGATTTTTAATTAGTGTTTCCTTCAAAAAGAAATAATTATGTTTTTGTTTTGTTGAATAATTACTTAAATTTACTGCTTTTAAATAATTTGAAATTTTTTGTTTTCTATTAAAAAATTGTTTGTAAAACGATAATTTTCTGTTTGTTTTGAACAAACAATCTCTCTCTCTCTCTCTCTCTCTCTCTTTCTTTCTTTCTCTGTCCTAATATTACGAGATTAAGTAATTTATTTTATTAAAAGTTGTAACTATTGTTGTCAAACAAATAGTGTTAAATTGAAAGCACAAAATGTGATAACTTTTGTTGTGAGACTTTTTTCTCTGCATTCAGTCAACAACTCGGGTAACGGAAGGGAAAAATTGTGAGATTAAATCCGAGATAATGTCTAACCATTTATTATATTTAACTTTAATATAAAATATTAGATCACTTCTAAGGATTAATAATGTCATATAAAGTCATGTAATACTCTTTTATGAATATTTTTCGCATTAAACATAAAGTCAAACATAATTTTTTCCTTTCCGTTGTTTAGTTTATCGAAAATCTCGCGAAACTGTTTGCCTCTAAATATAAATTATATTAAATTAATAAATTATAATTAAAGCAATTCTGCAGTACTGGTAGTGAACCGGTGTTCACGCCATCGACTATCAGTCACTTTAAGCAAAACGTGATGATAAATAATGCATTTAAAATCCTTTTTTGTCCCAACCATTAATTCACAGCTAATTCCTCTTTGAATGTCAATACACTATCTAATAGTCTGTTTATATCAATGTTTGAAATCTATTTTCAATTGTCATTTAATTTGGAGAAAATAATTGTTTTGTCGCCGAAAGCAATCAATTTTTCTATATATTCTTAGAGTTCATTCTATGGGAACCGACACTCAATTTGATTCAACATTTAGTTTTATTGATATATCGTTTAGATATAGGAAATGCACTTTTCTTTAACGTTATTAAACGGAGTCTCTCTCTCTCTCTCTCTCTCTCTCTCTCTCTCTCTCTCTCGTATTTATGTGAGCGAACAGTGAATTCTATTGTTTTATTCGGTCGTCTATTGTCTAACTAAACGATGTGTTAATTTATTATTTCATTAGTAAAGCATGAATTTCACGGAAGACATACTTTTTATTAGCGACTCATCACTTGAATCAACACAAAAGCAACAAAAATAAAAAATATTTTATTAACTAATTTCTACTTTCTCTGAATGTTGTATTCAAATACAAAGTCATACAATTTTATGTTATTATTATTATGTCTGCCATTCAGTTAAACTGAAACAGAATTATATATAATTTGTTTTTACTCTTTCTATGCGAGCATTTCGTCGCTAATCTCAACGCTAACTAATGCTCACAAATGTTGCCGTAATGTTGTTTTGAGAGAGAATCGCCAAAAACTTTATATATATTTTGAATGACATTAAGTGTTAATAATTTAGTTTTTTGCTTTCAGTTTCATCAAGTGTTTGACATTTTTCAGAATCATTTATATTTTATATCATTTCTTTCGTTAGCAAAAAATTGTGTTAAAATTAAATGAGAAAAAAGTAGTTTTTATATACATTTTGTTGGCTATAATACGAAAGGCGAAGTTAACACTGGATTCCGTTGAGTCAATACACTGTCGAGAATTTTCTTGAGACACATTGAACTTTAAAACTATATATTTTGTTTCGACTCTTATATTGCAAATTATAATAGTTTAGATATAAATCGGGCACTTTTTCCCGCAATTTAATGCTAATCGTTAAACTGGTCCCATATCTCGTTACGGGTGCCCACAACTGGTTCAACACTAATAACTAGTATATTAATTTACACGTGCTATTAATTATATATTTAATGCTATTTATTTTTTAAAAAATTTTGCATATTGTTATAAAATTTGACATGTTATTAGCATTTCGTTTAGATAACTATTACTTTATATTATAAACTATTGATAACACTATGTTTTTATTATCAAATGAAATATTTTAGTTATTTTAGTATTATTTCAATTTTTTGTTTGTAAAAACCATTTCAAATAGACTTTTGATATTTAAAAAATACCAGAATATTTGAAATATTTAATAGCTTTTTTCGTTTCAAATATAAATAATAAATAAAACTGAATTTGTTTGTCATCCCATTCTTAAGCCAAAAAGTGTGTTATCTTTAGTTCAATAAAAATTTGAATTTAAAATTTTGCATAAAATTCTTGAGTAAATTTGAATGT